TTGGTCTCTATTTTGGGCGATCTGCATCCAGTCCTTTCCTGCCGTTCTCATCTCATCACAAGAGGAAATTCAACATGCCCTCAAAAATATGAAAAATAATAGAGCTCCGGGGGAAGATGGTATAGTCATTGAGACAATTAAACAAGGAGGTCCACTTTTAATGTCCCGAATCCAAACACTTTTTAATCTATGTCTGCATAGTGAAAACTATGCAGACCTGCACACTATACAAGCTCTTTACTCGAATACTGATAAACAGATTAGAAGCAAAACTCGATTTCTATCAATCAGAAGAACAGGCAGGATTTCGAGCGGGACACGGAACAAACGACCATTTGCAATGCCTTAAAACTCTCGTTGAAAAGTCCATCGAATATAACAGACCCCTTGCTCTTATCTTTGTCGACTTCCACAAAGCATTTGACACAGTTGAAACAGTTGCTATTTTAAAAGCACTATCAGAATACAGAATATATCACAGGTATGCAAATATTACTTGAAATATATACGAAAATGCGATAACAACCGTTAACCTCCATTGCATGACTGAGAAGATAAAAATTGGCAGAGGGGTGCGGCAGGGAGATATCTTGTCGCAAAAACTATTTATAACAGTTATGGAGTACGCAATTAAACGGCTAGAGTGGGAATCAAAGGGTATTAGATATTCAATCATCTCAGATATGCCGATGATATTGTTTTCATAACAGACAACTTAGGAGAAGCCAGAGTTATGCTATAACAACTACAGCAACTAAGCCAGAAAGTCGGTTTAAAGATAAACTATGGAAAAATAGAAATGATTACCAACCTCGTCCCCAATGAGCTAATAGAAATCGAAAAGTCGCCCATAGAACTTGTGGAAAAATATGTGTATTTGGGTCACGAAAATAAGGTTAACGCGAGATAACCAAACATGCGAGCTACTCAGAAGAATAAGTCTGGGTTGGGCTGCACTCGGAAAAATAAGAGACGTATTTAAAACAAATATATTGATCCATTTAAAAAGAAAAGCTTTAAACCAGTGCGTTCTACCAGTCATCACATACGGAGCAGAAACCGCAACTCTCACAAAAACATCAGCCGAAAAATTGAGAAGGACACAACAAGAAAGATGTAGAGATCAATGCTTGGAATAAGCTTAAGAAATAGAATAAGAAACAAGTTCGTAGACGAACCGGAGTAGAAGACATTATCGAACATATTACAAGGCAAAAATGGAGATGGGCAGGACATGTTGCAAGAATGAAAGACGACAGTTGGACAAAAAATTGCTTGAGTGGAGACCACGGGCTGACAAGAGAAGCCGAGGAAGACCCCCAACGCGATGGGCCGACGACCTCAAAAGAATCGTGACCAATTGGATAGCGGAGGCGCAGAACAGAAGCAGATGGAAAAATCTAGAAAAGGCCTATGTTCAACAATGAACAACTCAGGGCTGATTAATAATGATGATGATGAAGACAAAATTCCTTAGCATGACCATTTTTTCCACCCTTAGTCCTCTAAGTTCCCCCCAAATAAAAAAAATCTTAATCCACGACTCACCTCTTCAACCAAAATACGAGTAGCCGTTCGTAAACGTTTTAATTAATTTACTTGCCCTATCTCTAAGCCTAGTAATTGTTCAGTCCCTCCTTCCAACCCCCAATAAGCAAATTAAAAATTTTTGCAAACTAAACTAGTACCCTGTTTTCTTTTGCATTTAACTAAACAAATACTTACTAATGTTAACAACATATTGATAAATTTATAGGTATTGACGTGAATATCATTTTGGATGCTTACAAACACAAACAGGAGGGAAAATTGGCTTAGGATATATACAGCAAAAAACAGTACGAAGAAAAATAATAACTTCTTGGTAAGACAGTTGAATCGCATAATTTCCATATGAAGCATAACTATATATTTCTTAATAAACCGTATATCTTCTAGTGATATATTCTTATGCAAAATGTTAGTCGCAAAATATTTTTTGGTGAAGTTAATTAGATAATCACATCTCCTGGAAAATTCGTTACAAATTTCCCAAATAACAATAAAAAAATATGTAATGTGCACATCTGTTACAAATACGTATATTTGTTGAAAGAAGTTGTTTCTTGATATAAAAGAAATTCCACTTTTCAATCGATAACCAATTACATGATTTACTATAAGTGGCAAGGTAAAACCAAAAATTGGAAGACTGTATTTCGAGATACAGTGTTTTGTTCCAAATATATTAAGTTTATTCATATTGTTCATAAATGTATTCCATTTACTCGTATATCGTAGTTTACCATAAAAGCTAATGATATGAAATATTAAAAACGTGCAATGGTATGTTACTACCAAAAAAAGTTCTTCATAACCCATGTACGATGCAAAGTTTTGAAAATACAAATATTGTGATATTTGTTTTATTGTATACAGCACAATCCATATTATCAAACAAAGAACTTTAGAAACATTGTTTTTGTAAGGAAAGGGACCAAAAATGCCTCCATATTGATAGAGTAAATTTAAAACAAGCATTTCTGTGATCACTGCTAATACACATCAAGTAAACAAAGTAAGGTTGAGTCAAACATTGATAATAAAGTTCAGTGGTACATTAAAAACACATTTATAATTGTAACAATACTGAAGACATCGTTACGCATAATCGTTTATATAATAAATGGATTTGGCCGTTACTTGATGGAAATTCATTTTATGTAACAATTAAACACTGAAAACTTTGTTTTTAAAACTTCCTCAACAATTTATTATATCTGTACCTTGGTGGTAAAACAACCAATGTCAAAAATTGAGATTTTTGGTTTTTCGTCGCAAAGGGTGCAATATAATGTCCTTTATATTGTGCAAGAACAACCAATATCTTAATTAGTGCCACTTTAGCGTTGGAGTATAACTGATTGACCAATGTCATTATTATATAGAAATATATTTAATGCAATTTATACTTTGGTTATTTACTTTTATAGCCCAGGGAATTAAGCATTTTTTCATGACACTCGTCCGGCCAGGCAAACGACAATTTCTCAGACCCTCTCTGGGACTGTAATTTTCCCCTCGACGCTGGTGAGAGGGCCGAGTAATTGGTCTTGGTCCCCTAATTTGTAAGGGGAGCACGACCATTGAAACCAAATACAGTCCCAGCGTCCAGCATCTGTGCACCGGGTGAGCGCGGGACATTGCCGCTGGACGCTAAAGGGCGTCGCAACTGAGACGAGCAGATGCGACGCTTTTTTTGCCTTCAACAACACAAGTACCTACCAACTCCCCCATGGCTACTCAATCCCAATTTTCAATCTCGTCCACCCAAAAAAAAAAAAAGAAAAAAAAACACATTCTCCCAACACATTCCATATGAGTAGCAGACACGTTTACCCCACCGGTCACCTTTTCCATTACACGTCCTGTTCCAATTCCCACGTAACAGGGGAGGCAGCAGTTATGTGGAAATTCCAAGCAGACTGCTCAAACAGACTGCCATTGCGTCCGGAGGCAACCGTGAAAAAAGCCTAGGGGAGCAAACTTCGATAAAAAATCCCCACTATCACGGTGGAAGGCATCGTGCCAAAGATATGAGAGATGCAAGGGTTAGAGCATCAAAAACGATCCCTTCGGGATACCTGGCGACCTCTCGAAGTATCGAAGCCCTAGCGCGGTAAGGGCGCACTGCCGCGCCAGACGTATAGCACGTCCCGACTCGTGGGACCATTTATGAGTAAAATAAAAAAATTAAAACAGACGGGGATGAAGAATGACGACCATCGGCAAAACAATATGGACAATGCAAAGGAAATCGAAAAAAAAAGAGTAAGGAGGAACAGTCGCATGACGACTTGAAAACAGAATTAGAAGGAGAGATGATGAACAGTTTTGAGAGGGAACTGGTAAGAAGGCATAAGCAACAACAAAAACTGAATAGATCGACTGTTGCAAAGCAGTCGACATTAGTAGAAGACGAAATTACAGAAGATAGTGAGAACGATGAGAAAGAGATAGGGGAAGAACAACCACAGGAAAAAGTTGAAAAAATTAAAGATATATGGCAGAATATCGAGGGTAGTGCGCTGACCAATATCCTGTTTGACGAAGAAGAGGAGGGGAGACGATAAACATAAAGAAAAGAAAAGCCGAAAGCATGGACAGGATAAATGACCTCAAGAGGGAAAGGCTGGAGGAGAGTATAAGGTTTTCAAATGAAACAAAACAAGAAAAAACAAACAGGAAATTAGAGGAATTAAGTACAAAACTCGAAGAAATATTTAACAGAAAAAAAAGCTGGAGGTGGACACCGATTTAAAAAAATTGATAGGGATTATAAAATCCACAAACAACAAAAGGGATGATAATAGGATAACCGAAAAAACCAAACACGAATTAAAATGTGACCATTGTAAACTAAAAGAGGAGCAGGAGAAGCAGAAACAAGAACAAGAAAAAGTCAAAAGGGCATTAAACATGGGAAAAGGGAAAAACCATTTATGAATATATGCGACAGTAAATGGGAAGAGAAAGTATATCTAAAGACAAAGTAGGAACAAGCGGGGCTACTAGAAACAGTAGAAAAAAAGAACTGTATAATATTTACAAAAAAGGAAGCGAAAGGTGAAGGTGTGGAAAACATCATTAAAGATGTAGGATAGGATCTAGCGGAGATGCTAGAAGAAATAGAAGAGGGAGAAATAAATTACCTAGAGAACACTAGAAGAAAAGCAAATAAAAAAACAATATGGTATACTTTCGTTGCCAGATTAGACAAAGAGCGGGGGGAAGATGCATACGACATGGCAGAAAAGGCTATAAAGGACATAAGGAAAGAAATGAACGAAATCCCAGAGGTCATGCGGGTTGTAGTCGCAAACGACCTAAATAAGGAAACCATAAAGAAAGCTCTCGAATATATAGGGCATAGAGATAGTATATCCTGGGAGATTTTAGTAAGAGGGAAGGAATTCGGTGCAGAGAGGAGAGTGAAACAAGAGGAAGCCCTACTCATAAAGATGAAAGGAAAGAAATATAACGAAGTTCTTAGCGAAATGAGAGAGAAAATTGACATTGGAAAGATCGGGGTACAAGTGAGCAAGCTAAAAAGAACGAATGGGGGAGATCTACTTGTAAAATTAAATGGGAGAGGAGCTGCGGCGAAGTTGAGGGCCGAACTGGTCAGCAAAATGAATCCGAAGAAAGGAGACTTTCTTTAAGATTACGAGTTTGGACCCTAGGGTGAGTAAAGAAAGTTTAAAAAAAAGCAATAAAGAGCTATACAGGCATCGCGGAGGGAGAGATAGAAGTTAAGGGCCTAAGAGTCAACAACATTAGATAATAACATAATTTAACCGTCAATTTCAGCGTAATTTTTCCAGTTTGGACAGTACCAAAAAAAAGGTGATGCCTCAGGTCAGAAAAAATTTAGATTAGTAATTGATTACAGGAAGCTCAATGATCATACTGAAAGTGAACCTTACCAATTTCTTCAAATAGATGAAATACTGGATAACTTAGCAAAAGCCAGTTATTTCACAACTTTAGATTTAGCTCAAGGTTACCATCAGATTGAAGTTCATCCGGATTCTATTCGCAAAACAGCCTTTTCGGTTCTGCATGGTCACTTTAAATTTTTAAGTATGCCTTTTGGTTTAAAGAATAGCCCAACAACATTCAAAAGGTTAATGGACAATATTCTTAGGCCCTTTATTCATATATACATATATATATATATATATATATATATATATATATATATATATATATATATTACAAATATTACAAATAATTTTGACATAAAATACAAAAGAATTTTTAAAAAACACCGTTACACTACCACTTTGACAAATAATTGGAAAACAGAAATAGCAAATACCTTCCAAAATATCCTTAGACCAAACAAAAAATTTGCAATGACAATCCTTCACGAATTTAGACCTTTTATCTGTAACTATTTTAAAGAAAAAATAAACTCCACATTCAAAGCAATATTTTGCAATATACTACTTCAGGACATAGAAGAAGAAAATCAACAAATAGAATGCATAAAGAAATATCACGTGGAAAATCACAACGGAATAATTGAAACTTACAAACACTTAAAACAAAAATTTTATTGGCTCTCAATGCAGACAACTATTTCGAATTTTATCAATAAATGCGAAAATTGCCTAAAAAATAAATACGAACAACGTCCTTATAAACTTTCCCAATTAGGACCGTTGGTAGGTCAAAAACCTTTTGATATATTAAATATCTATCTATTCCACTGCAATAAAAACCTGTACCTCACAATAATATATTCTTTTTCCAAATACGGTCAATGCTATAAGCTAACCGACAAAACTTCCATTTCCATACTAAATAAATTAAGACAGTACTTTTCGCACCACAATTATTTAAAAAAGTTTATATGCGACAGCGGCACCGAATTCAATTTCGCAGTAATTAAAGAATTCCTAAATATCCACAAAATCGAAATACATTTTTTATAACAGTACACAATTATTCTTCAAACTCTCCTATTGAGCGCTTTCATTCAACTCTTATTGAAGAACTTGGGACTTTACAAGCCCAAAATCCAAATTATTCGTTAGATGACATTCTAACATATGCTATTCTCATTTACAACCAATCAATCCACAGTTCCACAGATTATTCTCCTTTCTCAATTCTGTACGGACCCTATGCAGAAGAAATACTTTTCGACTTTGATCTTCCGATATACGAAACATATAATCAGAGACATAAAGAAGAACTCCAACCCTTTATTTCAGACCTATATAATAAACAAAAACAAAAAAGACAACAACTTTTAGATAGACAAAACGAAAATGCCGAAGATATTCTGGAAATAGACCTCACAAAATCCATGTATGTTTCTAAGAAAAAACATGTCTAAATTACAAGCCCCTTGCTCCACTATTCATCCAGAAACATAAAACAAAACAAAAATTATTGGTAAAACAGATTAACAAAATTTAACAAGCACTCACCTTAAATATGTAAAACGAATTCGAAAATAAGTAGACAAACCTACTCAAGACCTAAATTTTTCACAGGACAATCCTCGCCCTGGTCCATCCACTCAGTATTCAGAAGATTCCGAATAACGGTTACTATGCTGAAGAGATAGGCAAATCGAGAGAAATCTCCCACTACCATAGACATTTTCTTCACATTCCACTAGACAAACTATCCGACACTATTGACGCTAGTCCAACAAGCTATATCAGAGATCACTTCAAAAATGCACCTCTCTCGTTACTGTACTCCCAATACACACACATACAAGAACAATCAAAAGACGATCTAAACAAGATTACGCGAAAACAAAAACTCGGACTTTTTAATTTTCTGGGTACAGCCCATCAAATACGTGACTGGAAATCCAGACGATTCTGACTTAGACTTATTAAAATCACACATAATCTCTTTAGAAAATAAACAAAATTAAATTATAAAAAAATTTAATAACCAAATATCTTATGAAAACTCTTTTAACACGAGAATCGATAAACTTTTAGGAAAACCAAATTCTGATAATGCAATTGTCATATATGCACTTAATAAATTATCAGTTTCTTTCGACAGCTATATGATTCTACACAATAAGATAATACTCCTAAATCTCCAAAATATAAACGAATTTCTAATCAAACTTATTAGAACCATTAATTTATCTGAACTAAATATGTCTAATATAGAATTATTCACTTTAAATGAAATAATAGACCTTAAAGAAAACCTTCTCAAAATTTATCCCAGAAATTCAATCCCCAATAGTAATGAACACCCTTATGAACTTATAGAGTCAACAAAAACTTTAGTTTGTGTAACTTCAAGTAAAATCCTCATAATAATTAAAATCCCTATACTCCTTGAAATTCCTTACACTACCTATAAAATCTACCGCATTCCAAACAAAGATCATGTTATAATTCTGTCACCTGTAAGCTACTATACAATGATCCAATTATGTACAATCCAAATGTAACATACCCAATGTAGATAATTGCACAAAAACATTAATCACAGAGAACTTTTTCCAAAAGACCAGAAAAGTCGTATTGCTAGGAATAGTTCACCCGATGAGAATGCAGCAGATAGAACTTAATTCAACCAGCCTCTTAACCACAGATGTACCAATAATGGTTGAAGGTATCCAATTTAATAAAAAGACGTCACAAGATATTTCCATTCCAGAAATTGTTACAATAAAATTAATACCAACCCAAACAAATTCAACCACTAGATACCATAGACGTACTACCCCGATTATCAATAGGACTGAGCACCACTTCTGTTATAATATTTTTAACTATTTTAGGTTTCCGAATAATCTTTTTAGTTAGACGAAGAAAACGAATTTCCAAAATCCTATTTGGAGAAGAATTGCATCCTGCCCAGATCTAGATATTGGACGAGTTGATAGCTGAAGTAACCAAAACTTCGAAGACGTAGTACCAACTAATGGAAGGAGGAGAAATGTAGCCACGAGCTCCTCTACTATTAAGACTCAGCAGATTCCGACGTCCGATGTTATAGAAAGGAAGAAATCAGTATTTTTATTATTATTGTAATTAATATGTTTTAATAGTCTAGTTTAAATCATTAAATGTAGAAGATGGTAGTATGTAGTTCTTAAAATTGTAACTTGTAATTTCGAAATAAAGATTTTTTTGGGAAACTAAAAAATATATATATATATATATATATATATATATATATAAAATAATAATATATATATATATATATATATATATATATATATATATATATATATATATATATATATATACAATATAAAATGAATGTTTCTTGGGTTTACGTTCAATAAGGATATATTACATGTGGAACTAGATTTTATTTTCCATAGCAATCAATCAACGTTTCGGCAGGAAACCATTGCCTTTGTCAAGATTCTAAAATGTATATGTATAAGGACAAACATATATTGTAAATTATGTATGTATATATATATATATATATATATATATATATATATATATATATATATATATAAACAACACAGTTTATTAGGGTTGCAGTCAGAATATTGGCCGGGAAAAAACACTCTTTTGACTTTTTGTCGAGTTTTCGGAATGGTTTTATTCCTTTTTCAAGACACTGTAAGAAGATAAATATGTAAATATTTAAAAAATATCACAATTCTTCATTGTAACTTACTAGTCGTTGAGATTATTTGTATAAGCATTGCATATAAGCATATAAGCATAAAATTTTAAAATATATATATACAATATAAAATGAATGTTTCTTGCGTTTACGTTCAATAAGGATATATTACATGTGGAACTAGATTTTATTTTCCATAGCAATCAATCAACGTTTCGGCAGGAAACCATTGCCTTTGTCAAGATTCTAAAATGTATATGTATAAGGACAAACATATATTGTAAATTATGTATATATATATATATATATATATATATATATATATATATATATATATATATATATATATATATATATATATAAACAACACAGTTTATTAGGGTTGCAGTCAGAATATTGGCCGGGAAAAAACACTCTTTTGACTTTTTGTCGAGCTTTCGGAATGGTTTTATTCCTTTTTCAAGACACTGTAAGAAGATAAATATGTAAATATTTAAAAAATATCACAATTCTTCAGTGTAACTAACTATAGTGTATTTTTATGTATGAAAGAGTAATAAAACAATAAATTATGTATGCAAATCCCTAAACTGTTGATACGGGTGACTCAATGAAAAACAGATATTTGTCAACAAGTTTACAGAAATATATAGGAAAACAATTTTAAATTGAGTATGACCACCAGGTATAAAGGTTGGAGCAGAATAGAATACAATAGTTGTGAGGGTTACTAATCCCTAAATAAGGTTGCCAGTGTCGGAGTGATGGAGGTTAACAGGTAATAACGAATTTGCAAGAAATGTAAGATGTTTATTTTATTGGTTATAAGTATATAACCAATAAAAGTTTAATAAGTACCTACCTATTTGCAAAATAAAGTTTAATTCTTTAGATAAAATAAAACGTTTTATTTTATCTGAAATGAGTGCATTCCACGAAGTAAGGGTTTCAACAATCAAATATTTAATTCTTTAATTCCAGGAATCTACGACAGTAATTGACTAGATAATTACCTTTTAAACTTATTCCACAGAAAATGTGATAGTGGGTTTTTCCATTTTGTAGGAAGGTCCAAGTG